GTTTTACAGATTTGTTGTGATGTTTTACAGATTTGTTGTAATGTTTTACAGATTAGTTGTAATGTTTTACAGATTTGTTGTAATGTTTTACAGATTAGTTGTAATGTTTTACAGATTTGTTGTAATGTTTTACAGATTTGTTGTGATGTTTTACAGATTTGTTGTGATGTTTTACAGATTAGTTGTAATGTTTTACAGATTTGTTGTGATGTTTTACAGATTAGTTGTAATGTTTTACAGATTTGTTGTGATGTTTTACAGATTTGTTCTGAGGTCATTTTGTACAGTTTGTTTACTTTTTGATTCAAATGCTTGTCATTTGAACTGTGTTGTAGCTGTAAATGTAAACATAGTTTCCATGAAATTTTAGCCAAGATTCTTAGTTTTCTATTGATACCAAACATGTAAAGGTTTAACTCTTAGGTTAAAAGAAGTTAAAAGAAATAAAGTGTGGGGCTAAAGAGGTTAAATAAAGGAATAAAACAAATAAAAAACATGCTCCAATTTAAACAACACAACACAAAAACAAAACAAGTTATGTTTACCTGCAACACACACATACAGAGGGAAAATAATACCTGTAATCACAGTAAATACAGCTAAAGAATCCTTTGAGAGTTAATAAAATGATATTTACCCTCAGTTATTTCTAAAAAAGCTCCTGTTATCAGTTAGTTTATCTACTGGGAGCCAAAGTGGAGCGATATAGAGACCAAACAATCCCATAATTTACACTACGGACTTAAAGGATCTGATATTTTAAATAAACCCTTCTGACCTGCTGAGGTCTGAAGACTAATGAGATCGGGCTGAGATTGTTGGAGTTGCAGTAGATCTGCAGTAAAAACACTCAAGGATCAAAATGAAACTTTGCAACGCACCACAGTTATTCATCAGTTTGATCAGCTTGAGTGTGAAGTGAACTGATCATTAATACCACAGCAAGGAGAAGACTAGTGGTGATTAACCAGACAGGAAGGACAGGAGGGAGAGAGAGAACAGGAAAGAGAGAGCAAAGGYTCATTTACCACGTTCTAGCTTCTTATCTGAGAACAGCAATGTGAGGTGAAGGAGGGGCACGAGGGGTAAGAAGGTTGAGGGGTGAACAAAATGGAGAGGAAAGAAAAACAAAGAGGGAAGACGTGAGTCCAGGAGTCTCCAGGCTGTCAGTGGACGATCAACAGTTTGGTACAAAAACAATAAAACCCTAAAACCTGAAGAAGCTGGGATGTTGTGTAGCATGTAAATAAAAACTGAACACAACAATTTTTATGAATAAAATAAGAGATTTGAGATCATCTCGTTCAGTTTGGATTTATATCTTACACAGCCCAACTTTTTCAAAATTAGGGTTGTAAAAGTGCTCAACGACGACTTCTTGAAAACATTTCTGCATCCAGGCATCCACAAACAGGCACACACACACACAATCAGGCACACACACACACACACATATGCACATGTGGTCAGACTACAAGGAGCTAAAATGTGTCCTGATTCATCACAAGGCAACAGAAAGGACAACAGATCCGATGTGTTTGTGCTCTGACTCATACTCACTGGTGCCCTCCTCTGAAACCATCCCGAGTCCCTCTGCCTTGTTCTGCCTCTCAAACGCGTTCAAGTCCAAAACGCTGTCAACATCACAAATTATTTTAATAAGTTCACACTAAAGAGACCGTGCAGAACCCAGCAGGGTCGAATTAGAGCGGACACTGAAAAACGTCTTAAAGGGAACCCTGAAACAGACATTATTTGATAAACATTTAATTAAACTGTAAAACAAAGCCTGTAAAAATAATGTTTTGTTTGCATAAATAATAAATATAGTCACACGGACGGTGCTATAATATTCAAACCATAAAGCATATCAGATAAATGACATTCATTAGGTCCTCGGTGCGAGG